TCCAAAGAGGACCCTGCACATCACATGACCAGCTCAGAGATTTTTCGAAAAAGTTAAGAATATAAGAAAAAGGCATAGCATACTGTTTGGGGATCCACCATGGAGTTGAGCCCAGAGTTAGACTTTAATTAATTTCAAGGAGTTTTTCGCCATTAACAAAGAAGGGGATAACCCCTTAAAGAGGACCTCCAGTTGTTTTTCCTTTTCTTCATTAGTGAAGAGCATCCCCTCTTCATTTTCATATTCTTTCACCAGTGCTTCTGCTTCTGCTCACTGCAGTGATCCAAATGAGATGCATCACGCTTCCAGCTATGTGATTCAGCCACTCCCTGTAAAGTAGGGTTGTCCTGGATATGCCTCCATGATGTGTAAGATCAAAACACAAGGTGTTCCTCAAGCAAATAATTCATCCCTTTGCTATCTTCAAACACATAATACCTACTGGAACACGTGGTGGGTTGGAGGTAGAAGCATGCACAGATCTCAGTTCAGGGAGATGCAAGCCATTACTCCTCATCCACAGCACCATTATCGTGAATGAAGGATTTAAGATGGGATGGTCAGATGAAGAAACAGCATATTTTTGGGGCTTTGTTGGCAAGATGAGTTTCAGGCTTGCTTCTACTATAGGTTCAAAGCAAAATTTTCAGGTTTAAATTTGCAGACTGGGCAAAAGTATGGGTAGATTTGCTCTGGAGAAATTTTAATACCATAATGCACTGCATGACCTTTGAACTATAGCTAGCAATATTAGATGAGCCAATAAGGGGACATTTGGATAAGTCAGCTCCTTCATTATAGAAGTGGGGCAAACAGCAGCGATAGTAGGAACAAGAGAGAGATTAGGACAGTCAGCTGTAGCTTCTGTCCTATCCATAGATCTATTTTTTGCACAACGTCCATTTAAAGAAAACTAGGCTTTTGTTTCTGGGGTGGAATTTTGTGATTTTCCTTTCTTATGTGGGCTTTTTACATCTGTTTTATGTTGATAAGGCTTTTTTTTTATTTGAAATGTTCATAGTGGAGAATTTACTTGTTACTGACTATCTATTCTTGGAGCTGCTTTTTGTTTGCAGCACACCGCGGCATCATTTGAAAAAACATAAAACTAAGTGAATCACCTAAACTACTATGTCACTGTACCCTCCTCCCCATCATCCATATAGTATAGTTAAAAGTTAGGCATACACCAGTTAGGCCTAGTATCTGTCATTACTATTATCTGTCATTAAAACGGTCCTTCTGGTGGCCAATTTTCCAGGGCTGTATTATGTGCAGTCACTTTTAAAAAAAAATGAAAGCCTGATAGAAGTGGGCCAGTGACAGAACACCGTGGGGTCGATTTACTAAAGGCAAATAGACTGTGCACTTTGCAAAGTGCAATTGTATTCTGCAAGTGCAGTTGCTCTAGAGCTTAGTAAATGAGTTAAAGCTTCCCTTTGCCAAGAATACCCAGTCACATGCAAGGAAAATAAAAAAACTGCAGTTTTCTTTGCATATGATTGAATGATGGAAGTCAGCAGAGCTTCTGCTCATTAATTAAGCTCTGGAGTAACTGCACTTGCAGAGTGCAACTGCACTTTGCAAAGTGCACAGTCTAATTGCCTTTAGTAAATCAACCTCTTTGTCGTCAGTGAGAACAGGCATAACCTCAGTCAGCTACTGGCCAATTTTTATCTGCTGCTCTAAAAAGGCTTGTTAGCGCTTGCTGAAAATGCATGTGTCACTGCTAAAACAACATAAATACAATATACCTACTATATGTTCACACCCCTAATACATACATACAAATGTGCAAAATGAATCTATAATAAAACTTGCAATAAAATGAATTTTATTTTTAACTAACCTCATTCCTGCAGCTCACCTTGCACAGCTACAGATCAGCTAGTATAGGAAGCTGGCTTGTTCTGTGTCCAGAGGTACCCTCTGTCTGAAGTCATTTGCCCAGGCAATACATTGGACACCACTTACCAGCAGGAATGCATATAGATATAGTATTGATATTGAAAGCAAGTGTTGGCAACATTGTGGACTTGTTTTTATTTGCGGTTGAGCCCACATTTGTACCACTCCCCAGCCTCTTCCCCTTAAGCTGCTAAGGCAGTGGCCAGGGGTGTACTCATGCCACAGGCGCAATGCTTTGCTTTGCTGCCATTGCAGGAAGTAAACCTCCTTGTAGGTTGAGTGTGACTTATTCATGTTTGAGTTTTTGGATGCGATCCTAGTGTAATCGTGTATTGACATCTGCATTGTATATGATCAATGGAGCGGTTGGTAAGGTGGATGAGTCTGGCTGCCGTTTTCAGGATCGACTGAAGCGGGGATAGCCTGTGGCGAGACAGGCCAGTGAGGAGGGAGTTGCAGTAATCGAGTCGTGATATGAAGAGGGCGTGGATGAGCTGTTTAGTGGTTTCAGCGGTTAGGAATGTGCAGATTTTGGCGATGTTGCGGAGGTGGAGTCTGCATGAGTTTGTTAGTGATTGGACTTGGGGCTGAAAGGATAGGTTGGAGTCCAGAATGACACCAAGTACTCTGGCCTGCGGGGCGGGCCTGATAGTGGCATTATTGGACGTGATGGAGAAGTCATTGGGGGGTGGTGTGCGGGCTGGGGGGAAGACTAGGAGCTTGGTTTTGGAGAGGTTCAGTTTAAGGAAGTGGAGCTACATCCAGTATGATATGTCGTTTAGTAGGTTTGTGATTCGGGCGGAGACAGAGAGAGTGAGGCGGGGGGTAGAGAGATAGATTTGTGTGTCGTCGGCATAGAGGTGGTAGTTGAAGCCGTGAGAGTGTATGAGTTGGCCAAGGGAGGAAGTGTAGACGGAGAAGAGAAGGGGCCCGAGGACGGAGCCTTGAGGGACCCCAACAGAGAGGGGGAGCGAGGGGGGAGGTGGTAGCATTATAGGTAACGCTGATGGAGCGTTGTGATAGGTAGGACGAGAGCCAGGAGAGAGCAGATTCTCTGAGGCCGAGGGAGTGTAGTTTTTTGAGGAGAAGGGGAGGTCGAGGAGTAGGAGCACTGAATAGTGGCCATTAGCTTTGGCGGTTAGAAGGTCATTGGAGAGTTTGAGTAAGGCAGTTTCGGTGGAGTTGTAGGGGATGGAAGCCGGACTGTAGGGGATTGAGGAGGTTGTTGTCATTGAGGTGAGAGCTTAGGCGATTGTAGACTAGGAGGAGGAGTTTGGATGAGAATGGGAGCAGGGAGATGGGTCTGAGGTTGTTCGGGTCGTTGGGGTCCAGGGAGGGCTTTTTAAGTATGGGAGTGATGTGCACGTGCTTCAGAGGGGAGGGGAATGCGCCGGAAGAGAGGGAGAGATTAAAGATGTGGATGAGGGAGCGTAGGATGGAGGGGGAGGGAGGTCGTAGGAGTTGTGAGGGGATAGGGTCAAGGTGCCAGGTGGTGAGGCGGGCGTCAGAAAAGACCTTGGTGACCTCCTCTATGGTAGTAAGGTCTAAGGTGTGGAGTGTGGAGGGGGCTTCAGCGTGAGGAATGTTAGGTGGGGTGGAGGTCAGAGCAGTGGTGAGGCCGAGAGAGAGGGGTGATGAGGGGGTAGCTGTGTGAGAGGGGACGGGTTTGGAGGGAGTTTGAGGAGCGACGATGTCCTTGCGAATTGTGTCAATCTTGTTTTTAAAGTGATTGGCAATCTAAAGGGCGGTGAGTGAGGTGCTGGGTGGAGGTGGGGGTGGAGAGAGTAGAGAGTTGGAGAAAGGTGGAGAAAAGTCAGCGAGGATTGGAGGAGAGGGTGTTGATGAGGGTCAGGAAGTAGGCTTGTTTGGCAGCGTGGAGGGCGGAGGTGTATGTGTGGAAGGCGGATTTATATTTATCTTCTGACTTATTCATGTTAATCACGTGCAATGCAATAGATGTAAAGTTGATATAATCTCAATATCTAAAACTGCACAAAAACTAATACGTTAATATACTTTTAAATATTCTTTTAACTCCTTTAAATCTACAGTGCTCATTATAATACAGAAAATGTATATTATCAGGGGTGTATTTACCACAAGGCATTTGCCTAGGGCAGCATTTTTCAGGGGGGCAGCAGCATGTTTCAGGGGGGAAGCACCACCCCTTGAAAGAAGGGATAGAAGAAGGGACACAAGCAGCACGGGGACCAGGTGGGATCTGAGAGAGGCTGGGAGTTGCTTGATGGTATATGCAGAGCCTGACTCTTGTTCCTGGGGATTTCCAGAGCTGTGAAGGTGAGTGTCTTATCTCTTCCCAGGGCGGGGGGTTGCCAGTGTATGGGGGGCGGTGGTAGTGGAAGGCTGGGTGGGGGTGGGGGGCTGCGGTGTTGTTGGTCAATGTCAGGATCTCTTCATGGGGGAGGGAGGTGTTGGTCGGTGTCAGGGTCTCTCCATGGGGGGAGCCAATTTTTGTGTTGCCTAGGGCAGCATGAAACCTAAATACACCACTGTATATTATATAGGGAGTGCTTGTTAGAGCCCAACCTCTGTAGCTGTAGAATAAAGGTGCCAGATGGATATCAGGGATGGATGGGAGCAGTAATACTGAGGCAGCTCTTCTTAGAGTGGAAGCAAGGCTCTAATGCATAAACATGAAAAAAGAGTGGAAGGCACCTCTAAGTGCAGTATAGACAATTTATTAGTGAACAATAGATAAATTGCACTTACAAGATAAATAGCTAAACATCCTAGGTCTTACTACCTGATCCTATAGACAGAGCTGCTGCTGGACGGCTGGATGTCTCACTTGGATCTTAATACACCACATGAGAGTCTTTTAACTATTTATCTTGTAAGTGCAATTTATCTATTGTTCACTAATAAATTGTCTATACTGCACTTAGAGGCGTCTTCCTCTCTTTTTCATGTTTCCTCATTATAATACAACCTGGTGATCCTGCCTTGAAGATCCTCGATAAGGCACTTTCTGTTGTAGGGTAACAATTCACTGTCCCAAACTTCTTATTGTACTTCTCCCAGGTCACACTGTTACATGGGCTTCTTATGGAGAATGCAACTGGCCTTTTCAACACATATTACACAGGCATGGCTCACTATTGTCACTAGGGTTGCACTGATACCAATACTGATATTGGTACTAGGGGCGGACTGACAACTCATGGGGCCCCCGGGCAATAGGGGATCATGGGGCCCCTGTGTCCTTGCCCAAACTAAAAAAAGCCTATAAAAAAGGTACCAGGGGCATCTCGTGGGGCCCCCTACTGACCCCGGGCCCTCGGGTAGTGCCCGAGTTAACAAATGGCCAGTCTGCCCCTGATTGGTACTGATACTAAGCATTCGCACGTGTATCAATACTCGTGCAAATGCACTGATACTAAAAAACGGATACCTGCAGACCTATTTCTTTCAGCTGTCAGTGGGATTCCCCCACTGATAGCTGAACTGTAAACAAAAGAATGTTGGCAATTATTGGTTGTTAGGGAGTGTGGCCCCTGCGTCCTTACTACTGATGACTCATCCCTCTCTCGGGATAATGCAAACAACAAGCCCAAACACAACTGTCCAACACTGTTACCCGCCCGCTCACAATCCCTCCCACACAAGCTACCTTTCCCCATTACATTTTACAACCTTCAATCCACAACTGTAAAACATTCCACCGGCCAACCTGTCATTATCCCACTCTCCTGTCAGCTATCACTACCATCTATCCTATCCCTAGTTCAGTCCCATTCTCCCTTCCTTTGCTACCCCACTGTAGAGTTTAAAGGTCCAAAGGGTTTAAAGAGGGTTTAAAGGTACTGCCAACTAGCAACTTTCCAACCTTTTAACCCCCCCCCCCCTCACCCCCGCCAGCAATCACATTAGCTTCCAGCCCTGTCTACTCATTCCACCCCACCCCAACCACTCATCCTAACCATCCCACCCCTGCACCCCTATCCCACCCACCCCAACCATAACCTGATTTCCCCACCCTTTAGCCAACTCCTTTTCCACTTACCACTTTTCCGCTTGCAAGGCAATAGGTATCGGTAATTGGTATTGCCAAGTACTTTAAAAAACTTGTACTCTGTGTTAAAAAAAATGGTACTGGTGCATCCCTAGTTGTCTCCATCATGAAACCCTGAAAAATGCCACACAACCATTGCCAAAGCAAGTGCATGTAAACATGACATGCTTGCAAAGAAGATGCAGAACATCAGTAGCACTAAGATGCAATAAAAGGTGAAAAATTATATTTTAAAAAGGCAATTGTTTAATACACACAGCTCTTTATCTACTTTAATACATCTTTCTGACAAAATCAGATGTATAATGACTCATTTTGGGTTTAGACACCTATTAAGCATTCAGAACACCAGTCTGCAACAGGTCTTATGGAAATTTTCAAAGGGACCATGTATAAGTTCAAATTTCCACATTCACCAGGTATTAGCAATCTTCTCAAAGCTCGGCTGTATGTCCTTAATGGAGCACTGGAAAATATGGCTGATAATTACACTTCAGCTACTCCTCAGGGTCCTTGTGGCTGTTTTAATCCTCTTGAATCAATTACAGTTTACATTCTAATAACAGTATGTAGACTGTAAGTAAAACTGTAAGACATTGTAGAATGAAATAAAAAATATAGTTGCGGAGCAGACGGACATGTCTTACACATGTCCCTTTAAATGAAAATAAACATTTTTATAATATTGATTTACTAGATAAAGTGAGAACGCGGATTAAGAAAAACATATTTAATAAAAATAAAAGGGAAAGAAAAACGTCTAATCATATAATTATATTTTTATTGCAAAATTTAATAATGCTTGTCTTTAGATAAACGTAAAGATACTTAGGGGATCTTTTACTGGGATATTTTACAACTATAACTAAAAATATTATTCTCTTGATGGGGTGATATAGCAGTAGATGTAATCCTAAATATTGCAAAATATATTTAACTCTAAAGCTGTTTTTTAGTAATAAAAAAACATTTTAGGTTTTGATTGTGTTGTGATGAGAGAGAAGTCATTTTATGGTGTTTCAGTTCTCAGGTTATTTACCATAGATAATAGATAAAGGCTAACTAGCCAAGTGGTACAGACATTTAGTAGTAGAAATAAGTGAACGTCTTACAAGCTTGATCAGTTATTGTGCGGCTGAACTTTTTAAAAATTTGTGAAAAATTCTGCATTTTCAAACTGAAAGTATTGCTTGAACTCAACTGGCATGTGTGTGTTTTTTTTTTAGTTCAATCTATGTTTATTGAAATTGGAATTTCAGGTAAAAAAATACAAATCATGAATGCATGATACAAAGGCATACAGTGAGATTGGGACAGGTGCCTTTTTTATCCGCCTAACTATGGAAGTCTTATCAGAAATATGAGCCAAAATAAAAAATGTTTGTATTATATAGAAGAAAATGGTAAAAAAAAAAAAAAGTGTGCAGAAGGGTTTGGGAAACTCCTAGGAGTCCTGGATGACAAGATGATGAAGCTAACAAACAGCATCAGTGACTTCCTTTAAAAAACGTAATAGAAAGATGGGTCAAAATGGCACTGGCAGTCTGGTAAGACCTTCTCTCCCTCTCTCCACTGCCTGCTTCTCTGCCACTTAGCGTCAGCTGCCCAGCAGCACTCCTTGCACTTCCATCTGTGCCCTTTCTGTTCCTACAGGTGGGAAATGAGAGACATCCTTGTAGCTAGGCAAGTAATCCCTTGTAATAGAAATTACCTAGGAAAATAGTGGTTATTACAACAAGAAAAAATGTGTCTGGGTCTAATCATGTACAAAATTATTTATTACATATATAAAATAGTTATTAGACAAAAATTACCACTATGTCAAAGTTAGATCACCCAACAAAATAGGAAAACACAATATTAGAAAGATGCACAAAACAACATGCATTGCAGATAAACAGACAAAAAAACTAAAATTGTCCAGACGCCAAGTATCAAAACACATCAGGATATACCACAGCAAGATGCCGCAATGGTGAAATTTAACAGTATCTAATGATTATAGTATTATCAGCTGTGTGTGGATCCCTTGGGAGCTAGAGCTATCCACAAGGATAACCCTAGCATAAGGGATAATACCATTGTTATTAGATGATTGCTACCTGCTCTGACATCACTCTCTTTCTTCAACATATCATGCCATTTTAACATTCCTGGTGATTTGACAACAATCCACAACTTTAGCCATGCATATTGAGGAAACACCTATGCAGGTTTCCTGACATCAAAAATGAGGTTATGTAACTAGAACAGGATGGCACCAAAACTTTCACACCTTCTATCTTGATCTTGTACAATCAAAATTTCCACATTCCATAGTTATTGGATTAAGGTGTAACTAAAAATGCTGGGGTATTGTCCTGATGCTCTAGGAATGGAAAAAGTGGCTTGGTAAGCTAAAAAACATCTTAAACATTGCAGAATATGTTCAGTTGAAAGTGACTAACTCACTAAACCTACTACTAGATATGCCTACTCTGACCTTTGCCTAGATAAGGATTACTATTGAACACTGCCTGATATGACCCTGCCTGGACAACAAAATACACTACTGTCTGTTGCCACCTCAAACTACTGCTGGCTCGTGTCCAGCCAGCCAGTTGTCCTGGATGCATCAGCACTCAGCACCTGTCTTTTACACCACTACCTCTAAGCCACCTGACCAGGGGCAGACTGACAACTCATGGGGCCCCCGGGCAATAGGGTATCATGGGGACCCTGTGTCCTTGCCCAAACTCAAAAAAGCCTATGAAAAAGGTACCAGGGGCATCTCATGGGGCCCCCTACTGACCCCGGGCCCTCAGGCAGTGCCCGAGTTTCCAAATGGTCAGTCTGCCCCTGCATCTGACACAATATGTGTACTATCTCTTTGAGGGTTACTGATGAGCATCCCAGTTTTGCAAATCTAGCTTTGCAACGTAAGTCCTGGGGCATCCAAGTACCGGTAGGCTTACTTGTCTTCAGTGAAAGGCTGATGCTATAGGTGAAGCTGCTCTAAGGCCTTTTATTTTTGCAGAATAGAACACAATTTGGAAACCTTGTACAATAAAGCTGAAGGGATTTAGCAAACGAAACATAAAGAAGAAAACCCGTTGAACCTTTTCTTTCAAAAGCCTTTTAGAAACCCAAACCATCAACAATAACACTGAAGTTTGGATTTGGCCATCAAAATGAAATGTGATCCAAATTTATCTTCATTCAAAATCTGGGCAATATCACAGCAAATCACAAACACAAAAAACAAATATTTAATATATTGTAGCTTATCAGCCCTTAGTCATGGTGGCTGCATTAGTTTTAACTTTTCAGGCTAAGAACATTTTCAATAAGTATAGAAAAGAAGCTTATCTTTATTGTATAAACTACTTGTCTCATCAGTCCCCCATGTAATTGGAGATGAACAAAGGCAGACATTTTTGGAGTCCTGTGTGACAACCATGGCTGCCCACTGATACAATGGAGAAATTGAAGAATGTAGACAAGAAGTGACAGGACATGTGTTATTTGCAGGATTACCAGGAGAAAACTAAGAGAATGTAAGGCCATAGAAAAGAAAACAATTGCAGCCTTCACACCTAAGGACCGGTAAGTTTCAATATATTACATTTTTTTTAGGGTTTAGGTAAGCCCAGGTACATTGAAGGACAACTATTGTAAAAAATATTGTATTCTGATAACTGTATTTATTAAATACATATACAGTAATGATATAATTTAGGATTTTGATGTCTTTATTATGTCACATACATTTGTGTATATTTAAAATTTTTACCATGGGAAGATAAAGTAAATACTGTAAGCACCCCTGACAGTGTTAGATAAGGTGACCGTTGTATGAACCCCTGAGTAAAGTTTGTTCCAATCCCTGTCACTCACTTTTTCTAATAAAGAATAGGAAAAAAATATATATTTTTTACATTTGTCAGGCTCTAATAAAAAAAAAAATATTTTTTTATTGAAAAAGTTTATCATATAAAAGCCTTAAAACATACAGATATTATTTAGGTATGAAAGTTAATCATACAGTTCCTGTCAAGTTGACTTATGTATACTGATGATGCTAAATTTGGTCTGGGGATTTAGGTATCAAAGACGTCTGTTTCAGAAGGATTTATACCACAAGAAAGTCCCAAGTGTGAGCATCCCAAATTCCCACAAAGTCTGCTAGCTTCCATAACCTAATTAAGGGAATACACGATAGGTATAGAAATTAGGGTGTGGTGAGGTACCTTTGGATGTTCTTATAACTGCCCGTGTTCTCTGACCTAGAGTAGAGAACTAATGGCCAAGAATTGCGATAGGAAAGGGCAAATAGACCAAAGAAATGAAGTCAGCAAAGAGCAATAGTGGAACTAGACGAAATGACATGGGAGGTAACAAACAGCTTCACACACTTTTCATTATATTATGTGAACATTTCAGTATTGGACCCAAAGGTGCCCCAATACTTTTAGCAATGCTCCAGGTCCACACTTAGTATCATTTGCATATTTGTTGTACTCTATCAGATGAACTTGTTATTAAAAAATATAAATGAAATACAACATAGATAACGAGCTATTGCTGTGTTGTTGTTGATAGGCAAACATAAAACTTGCCATTTTTATTTTTTTATTTTTTTTTGTGAAAAGTTTTCCAAAAACAAATAAAATATTGTATTAGATCTGTTAGTATTAGTTTGCAACAAAAAGTCACAGAAAATCAATCTCATTTTGTTCTTTTTCATGTTGGATTGTTGACTTCCAAGAGTATGAAAGATAAAAGGCTTGGTATGCTTCATGCAAATGAGTTAAATAGCCTCTGGAAAAATCATAACCGGAAAGAGAAGCATTGGTTATATGAAAATATTGATTGATGAAAGGAGTGACATGCCCTAGAAACTGAACGTAGAGGGTTTAGAGATCCCATAAAATGTACATAGTAGCAAACAGTGAAAGATCTGAAGTGCTTCACACAGGTTAGAGGATTGAGAGATTTAAAAAATATGTCAACCCAAAATGTCATATTCCTGATATGTGCCTGCCTTACCATGTACTTGCATGAAAAAGTATTCTGTTCTCTTTGTATTGCTTCCTTTATGTGACATCCCTGGTATTCCTGTCAGTTCCTCTGCTTTCCTATTAATAATGGACCACAGCATGGTCAGTTCTCTAGCTGTGTTCAGAACTCAATCTGATCTCCTCCAATGATCAGACTTTTGCTGCACAGCCATTTACTGAGAGGTTCATCGTGCTGCTGCTTCTCTGCCCCCAGCTCTCTGAGCTCCTAATTCAGCTGAGAACAGAGGGAAATGTGATCACTTATAAAAAATGGGGAAAAAGGGTATTTATAATTTTTTTTATATCTGTACACAAATGTGTTGCTTTTAATTTATATTTTAAACTGAATAGTTTGAGAAGCTGAACACGAAGGACCCAGAGTAAGAGGGCCCAACACACACATTATAGGAGGTATATGATTTGAGGAGATGAGCACAGAGGTGAGGGTTGAGGCAGGGGAGGACTGACAACTCATGGGGCCCCCGGGGCAATAGGGGATCATGGGGAACCCTGTGTCCTTGACCACACTCAAATCACATCCAAAAAAGCCTATAAAAAGGTACCAGGGACATTTCATGGGGCCCTCTACTGACCCCGGGCCCTCAGGCAGTGCCCGAGTGCTCGAATGGTCAGTTTGCCCCTGGGTTGAGGGATGAAAAGAGTTCACACAAGCTGAATAATGAGAAGAAAAGTTGGAGATTCAAGGAGTTAAACATAGAGAAGAGGGATGAGAGGTCCCAGGAGGTGAAAAGTATAACAAGCTTCAGATTGAGCAAAAGAAGTGACAGGTTTGAAAGAGTGAGAGGTCTGTGGAACTTCAGACAGAAGAGAGGAATGGGAACTCACAGAAGCTGCATACAGAGGAGAGGGGTGACGGGTCAAATACAAAACACCAAATAAATACAAAAGAGAAGGCTGAGAAGTTTAGAGGAGGTTCACATAGCAGAGAGGGGTGTGAGGTAACAGGAGCTGCATACACATGAGAAGGTTGAGAGGTTTAAGAAGGTACATATGGAGGAGAAGGTTGAGAACCCTACGGAGTTACTGTACATACAGAGGACAAGGTGTGAGGTCTATGGGGGTGCATACTGAGGGTAAAGTGAGAGGTCTAAGGGGGTGCATACAGAGGAGAGCATTGAGAGGTCATAGGAGGTGCACACACAGCAGAAGGGTGAGAGGTCATATGAGGTGCACACATAGCAGAAGGGTGAGAGGTCATAGAAGCGGCACATAAAGGAGAGAGCTGAGAGGTCTGAGGATGCTGTTGAGAGGTGTAAGGAGGTGCACACAGATGAGAGGGTTTAGACGTTTAAGGAGGTGCATACAGATTAAAGGGTTGGAATGAAGCGTATACATAGGAGAGCAATGAGGGATCCCTGGAGGTGCACACAAATGAGAGGGGTCAGAGGTCCAAGGACAATCAAAGAGAGAGAAATGGCTTTTAGTGCTGTCTGTGGAATCTTCCCCAATCTACACAGGAAGGCTTCTTTCTTTATACCATCTGTTGTCTAAAGTGTTGCATTGGCTCCTTTTTACACAGACATAAAAAAGCAAAAATTGTAAATTAAATTTGTGAAAAGCCATATACATTGGAATGACTGGGAATCGATGCTTGGCAATCTCCTGAATAATGAGCAGACATGTTAGTTGCTTAAGAGATATCCCTATTTATGAATGGCCTAATGCATGTTGACATTTTCTTAGCCTAAGCTACTGTTCTTATCCCCATTTAGTGAATAATGATTGCAATCACTGTTAATTTATAAAAACTGGAGCAAAGGGAAACAGTGTTGACAGTCACAGTCTTCTGTCTTCTCCAGTCACTGCTTCATATTTTCACATTGCAGGCTTCCCTGCAACTCCTTTCCACATTTCATTACTGAAGATAAATACATTCTTGAAGCCCAGTCCTGTTGCTGTATTGATTTAATAGTAAAGGTTTTGCTATTCAATTGTAAGTAATTGCTGTTCAAATACAAAGCAAGCCACCCACTTTTTTTGCTGATATTATTATATTAGCTTTTGCTGCAATACTTATCCTCAAACTAGAGTTTCCCCCCAAAGGCTCTTCTTCTCAGCCACCAAAGGTTGCCAGTCTCCTGGGTTGAATGATGGCCAGCATCATGGGGGCTATATTGGAAATTATTATTGTGACGAATGCTGTGCCTGACCCATGCCCTTCTCACCAACTCGTGACAAAAGACTTGCCAATCTCACGCTGCGCTGTCACTTACGTAGCAATGCCACTCTCAGCAGCACCCGGCACAAAGATTTTCCAACTTGTGAGGCCACAATCTAGGTGCCAGCAACCAGAGAGCAATTGTCACTGGGTTAAGTTACTCAAGCAATTAACCTTTTAAACTCCAAACTGCCACCAGATAACTCTTCACAATATTAGCAAGGAAAGTAAGAAAAATAAGTGTCTGTACACACAACGTCACCACAGACAGGTATGTTCAGAGATTTGTCATATACAGTAGCATTCTTCAAGAGATAGGGATTCTTTAGTTTGCATTAAATGTTTTAGAGACAATTTGATATGATCAACATGTATAAATACATCAGTGGTTCATATAGTGAACTCGGTGTAGAATTATTCACCCTGAGGTCATCACAGAGGACAAGGGGGCACTCTTTACATCTGGAAGAAAAGAAATGTAATCTCCAAACACGGAAAGGTTTCTTCACAGTGAGAGCTGTGAAAATGTGGAATAGACTCCCTCAAGAGTTGGTTCTGGCCAGCTCAGTGGATTGCTTCAAAAAAGGCCTGGATTGTTTCTTAGATACAAAGAATATAACTGGATACTAACATTT